GAGGAGGAGGAGGAGCGAGGAGGAGGAGGACGGGCCGCGTAAGCCCGTCGGAGAAACCCTCGCGGGGAACGAGGAGGAGGAGGAGGAGGAGGAGGATCGAGGAGGAGGAGGAGGAGCAGGAGGCAGGAGGAGGACGGGCCGCCTCCGCCCGTCGGAGAAGCCATCCCCCCCCCTTGAGCCCCCCACGCCCGGCCCGCAGCGGCCCCCCCATGAGCGGCCGAGGGGCGGCGGCGGCCTGCGCCGGCCGCATGCCGCGGCCGCGGGCCGCGGGCACATGCGGGGGGGGGGGCGCCCGGCACGCGCGGGGCGGCGCCGGGCGGCCTGCCTCGAGCAGGGCGGCTGCGGCGGGTTCGCTCCGTGTCGACCCCGGCTTCGGTCGGGCCAGTCCCCCCACAGGGGGATTGGCGACGAAAAGTAGAAAACAGTCAAAGAATGCTGAAAAGATGCATGGAAATACTCAAAAGTTGTCCCCAGACTATTTGGGGACTATTTTTGAACATTCTCCCTGTAGAGGGACAGGCCCGACTTAAACCCAGGCGTTGGTTTCTGACACCGCGGGTATCGTTCAACCTTGGACGAAGGGACGTTCCGTGAACGCTGGATCGCAGCTGCCCCAATACGCAACGCGCAGCGCGCCGCGTACTGATACGGGGCTCCACACGTAGACTGGAAACGAAAATCTAGCGCGATACGCTCGCCAAAACGTGGGCCAATACGTAGAGCCAACACGGAACGCATTGACACGGACGTTTGAGCACGGCACGTGCTGCGTATCAGAACGGGCGTATCGAGGCAGCTAAGCGCCGGGTCGTTCAACGACGGCGCTCCCCCGGCCACAGAGATCCGCCGTGTTGCTCGGGTCGCCGGGGACAGGTTTTCCATGAGGGCCGCCCCCGTTTCTCTTCGCCGACTTCCAGCCCCAGAGGAGGGGGCGGCGCGAGCAGCTTGCCCGCTGGGCCTTGTGGAGCCGCGGCCCGCATCGGTGCGTCTCATACACATACGCTCTCTCCTTCTCTCTCATATTTGTCTCTCTCTCTCTCTCTCTCTCTCTCTATGTATATATAGATATCTCGCTCTCTCTCTCTCTCTCGCTCTCTTCCTCTCTCTCTCTGTCTGCCCTCCGCTCTCTCTCTCTCTCGCTCTGGCTCTATTTCTCTCTCACTCCTCTCTCTTTCTCTCTCTCTCTCTCTCTTTCTTTCGCTCTCTCTCTCTCTGTTTGTATGTATTTATCCCTATTGATCGCTCTCTCACTCTCTCTCTCTCTCGCTCTCTCTCTCTCTCTTTCTCTCTCCCTGTCTCCCTGTATGTCTGCCTCCCCGTCTCCCTGTCTGTCTGTCGGTCTGTCTGTCTGTCTGTCTGTCTGTCTGTCTCCCTGTCTGTCTGTCTGTCTGTCTGTCCGTCTGTTTGTCTAACTGCCAGCCAACCTACCTGCCTGCCTGCCTGTCTGCCTGTCTGTCTGTCTGTTCGTCTGTCTGTCTGTCTGCCTGCCTGCCTGCCTGCCTGCCTGCCTGTCTGTCTGTCTGGCTGTCCGTCCCCCTCTCCCACTCTTTGTCGAGCACGCGAAGGGACAGTCCCGTCCCCAGCTGGCCCGGCACTGGGCGCCATCCCGAGCTGCGTGAGGCCACCCAGACGCAGAGCGGCGCAGCAGCTGTCGGCACAGCGGTCGCCCGCCCCCCCCGGAGAAACAGCGGTGTCCCCCCCCCCCCACCCCCCACGCCTGGGCCTCCGTGCGCCTACCCTCGCCTGTCCCGCCGCACCCCGCCCAGGCGCGGGCACCGAGGGGGCGGGGAGAACGGCGACCAGGCACCGCCTGGAGCCCCCGAAGCACCTGGGGGTCTCGTGATGCCGGGGCGTCAAGCCTCAACAGTCAGACAGGAGCAGATCCCGTGAGCTCGAGATCCAAGCGCGTGGAGCCCAACGAGTTTGGCACCCTGCGCACGGAACCCGACGTGTGCGTAAGCCTCACGTGGGGAAATCCTTCTGTGCCTTTTGTGCGTTGAACCCGTGCGTGCAGAACTCTGCCGGCAGGACGGAGCTTGCGCGCGGAGCCGCATGTGTTGAACACTAGGCGTGCGAAGCACAGTGGAGCCATACGTGTGTTGGCCTACACGTGGAGACACACTCTTCGTCGGAAACTGCGGGTGCCGGGCAGGCGTCAGTGGCACCTTCCTCGCGCCTCCGCGCGCCGCCGCGCCGGGTTCTCGCGGCGGAGGCGTTCGCGCTGCGCCGCGACAGCGGGCCGCCCATCTGAGGCTCGCTGCCCCTCTCCGCCTCGGCCTACAACGCGCGGGACATGCAGGCGTCGCTGGCGGGCCTCAAGGGCCGGTTTGACGCCTACGCCTTGGTGTCTCCGGACTCGGAAAACGAGGTGAGCGCCTGGGCCGCTTCGGGCGGGGGGCCAAGGGCGACGCCCAAGGTGGCCGAGGCCGCGGCCGAGCGCCCAGCGGCCGACGGCACCGGCGCCACCACCCGCCGACTGCGGCCTCGACGCAGCGGCAGCTGCGGAGTCCGCTGCGCGCGCGGCCGCGGCCGCGGTGCTCCTCAGCGAGCGGGTCTCCACCGCCGCGCGCACGGCCGCCGCCACCAGGGCAGCGCTGGCCAGCGCGGGCCGGCCCTCCGGGCCCAGCCATACCACTGGCGCCGCCGACCGAGCGGGAAGACAGGACGAGCGCGCCAAGCCGTGCGATCGCTCGAGCACGGCCACGGAGCGCGTGGGAAGCAGTGGGAGTGTGGAGCACTGCGCATGGAGCCCAGCGCGTGGAAAATTCTGCGCGTAGAGCCCCGCCTACGGGTCTGTAGTCCCATGTGTGGAACCCCACGTGCGGGATCTCTGCGCGGAAGGCCACGCATGGAGTCCTAGCGTGCGGCCCTCGTGCGTGGAAGCTGATGCGTGTGGAGCTGCATGGAGCCTGATGTGCCTGGCACCCTCTGCCAGACCAGTGTGTGTAGAACCCTATGTAGTATGGGAGCCCACTTTGAGTTGGTGTGCGGCACTGTGCGTGCGCGTGTGTATGTGTGCGTGTTGTGGTGCGTCTCTGTGTGTGTGCGTTTGGAGCCCCACACATGGAATCTGTTGTGCGGAAGACCACGCGTGGAGTCCTTGTGTACGGCCACCTCGCGCGACAACTTGTACGTGTGGAGCAACGTAAGACCGATATGCATGGCACCCACTCCCAGAACAATGTGAGACAAATTTGAGTGGATGTGATTTAAGGGAACAAAAAGTGACATAAACATAAAAACTCGGAGGTCCGCGCGGATTTCTCGGATCGGCGCTGGTGCCCCCCAGCGGCGCCTACGGCGCCGCCCCTGGCGCGCTCCGCGCGTCAGGGAGGGGGGTCCAGCGCCGATCCGAGAAATCCGCGCGGACCTCCGAGTTCTTATGTTTATGTCACTTATTGTTTCCCTATCATTACTGTGCGCGCGTGTAACTATGTGTGCGTGTGCGTGTGTGTGTGTGTGTGAAAGTGTGTGAAGGGGCGTGTGTGTGCGCGCGCGTGTGTGTGTGTGAATGTGTGTGTGAAAGTGAATACATGTACAAACGTGTGTGTTGTGTGTGTGTGTGAGAGTGTGTGTGTGTGTTGTGTGTTGTGTGTGTGAGAGTGTGTGTGTGAGAGAGAGAGAGAGTGCGCGTGTGGATACCCACGCGCATGGAAACCTACGCGCGTGCAAACTTCAGTCTGTGGAAGGGAATGCGCGCGTGGAACCTCACTTGTGAAACTCCAAGAGTGCGGAGCTCCATGTTTGGAACCCACTGTGGAATCATCTCCGTGGGGAACGCCATGCGTGGAACCCCTCGTGCGCAGCCGCACGCGAGAAACCCAACATGTGGAACCCGTTGTGTTTGGCCCATTCCTTTGCGCGTAGTCAGATGTCTGTACAATCCCATGCGCGCGTAGCCTTATGGACGTGCAGAGCCCCGTTTAGACACATCTGCGGCACCCTGTGTGTGCGGGGGTGGAGCCCTCTAGGTGTGGAGCCCCGTGTGTCAGGCTCGACAACCAGCCTTCGCACGCGCCAGATGTCGGGCGCCGCCTGCTGCTCGCCTCATGCTGCCGCGGCAGCCCAGGACCTCCCAGGCAGGGCGGAGCACCGGCCCCACCCGCAACTCGGGGCCGCCCGCGCGACCGGCCACCCTGCACAAAGAGAGCCCTCGGGCCCCGGTGCGCCTGCCGGCTGCGAGGGGCCCAGACACGACACCTCGACGCGCGGCTGCCGGGCCGAAGCCCACAGGACGGGCCCCGGCCAGACAGCCCGCCACTGCCGGGGCCCCTGCAGCAGACGCTCCCCCCGGACCACGCTCCCTCGCCCATGCCGCTTCGGCCACGCTCAGGCCACGGCAGCCCGCCTCTCGGTGGGGCGCCAGGGCGTGCAGCTCAAGAAGACTGGCAAGCAGTGGCGGCACACCCTCTCCTGCCCGGGCAGGCTTGTGCAGGACAAGTGCGCTCCGCGGTGGCCACCACTCAGTCGGCCTGCCGACGAGGCGCCTGGGCTCACCCGACACGCCTTCCGCTCCCGAGCTGCACGATGACCGCGACGGCCGGAATGACTGGGTCATTCCTGAACATGCCCCCACCCCCTCAATTGCAAGCGCTGCTTTGGGAAACATCCGAAACTTCGCCCCCCCCCCTGATCCCCTCGATACTCCTCCCCATCCTCCTCGCCCACTGTCTGTCTAGCAACCTCCAGAAACGTCAGGCAAACTCACCCCCATCGTGGTGAAAAACTGCCATACCTGCCAGCGCCCACATGTAGACCTCGGAACACAACACCTCCAGATACCATCAAACAAATACCCGGGCCTGGTCGAGAAGAACAGCGGCCGCTACTCGTCGGCGTCGTCGCCGCCGTTGCCGCCGCCGTCGTCGTTGTCATCGCCGTTGCCGTCGCTGCCGTCGCCATCGCCGCCGCCGTCGTCCAAGAGAAGACCAGGCCAAGACGAGGATGAAATTGGACAAAGACACATCGAGAGAATCTCTGGAGATCGGGCGCCGCGGCCTTCCCACAGGGTTCCGGAAGGCTCTGAGAGCTTCCCGGAACGCTCTGGAACGGATTGATCTCCACGTCCCAGCCTCTTATTCTCTGCGCAGAGACCTTTTACCGCGTCCGTCCGCGCCAGGGAGCGGGGCGGGCGAGGAGGAGAGGAGGAGAGGGAGGAGGAGGAGGAGGAGAGAAGGAGGAAGGAAGGAGGAGGAGGAGGAGGAGGAGGAGGAGGAGGAGGAGGGCCCTCCTCCTCGAGGGGCCGTCGGCCCTAAGGAGCTCCTCGCCTCCTCG